TTCTTCAGCCTGTTACCAAGATTGTTAGTATTTTATTACGGCCGACGTTTTGGCGTCTTCGTCGCCTTTCCTAGAGCCTGGAAAGTATGCTGAAACGCCAGCCAAAACAGACGTTTTCAACAATCTTAGTGATGGGCTGGAGAATATAGCATTGACCGAATTGTCTTCATTCTTCTCTCAAACATCTACATATCCTCTGCTTTTCAGCCTGCTGCCGTTCTTGTTATCGCTCAGTGTCTTGCTCGCCATGATGGAATACCTCTGATACCATCCATGATTGAGGAATGCAGGAATCACGTGATCAGCAACTCGCCCAATCTTCTGGGTTATGCGCTGTTACTCTGCGCCATACTCAAGCATGTGAGTTTGCGCTAACATATTTGCTTGAAGCTGCTTGAAGTGTTGAAAGAGTTGCTGCGATTCAGGTGGACAGGCAACATCTTCTTCCACATGTGGATATGATACGCGAAGCAGCTGAAACACATTTTCCATTCAAGAAATCTGTGACCGACACACTAACCAGAAAAATATTCATCAAAATGGTGCAACGACTTGCTTTGGTTGTGCTTAGACCGAGATTGGCTGCCTGGAGATACCGGTACGCCAGTCATTTATAAGCTTGCCAATCATTCTGAATCGTTTAGCCGAGGGAAGCGACGTCTTGAGGAGAATCTTAAATCAACAAAAACGAATGGGAATGCAGAAATATCTCAAAACAACATAAGTAGTGGAATGGGAGGAGAAGAGATAATCTCTGATGATGATGAGGAAGATGAGAACCCTGATGCACTGGTGTGTCAAAATCATAATCTGTACACATTTTTATTTTTGATTTTAGGTAGAATGGGCTATTGGTTGCGTGCTAAACGCTTTGTCAGATGATCACACTACTGTGAGGTGGTCTGCTGCCAAAGGTGTTGGACGCATAACTGCGCGTCTTCCGAAGGAATTAGCTGTGCAAGGTAATGGTTTTTTTTTTCTAATTTTTGAGAGTTTCAAAGTAATAGCGAGTTTATAGTAGTCGATTCCGTTCTTTCTACGAGTTTTCATCCACTTGCTGGACATTGTTCGTGGCACGGTGGCTGCTTGGCATTAGCTGAGCTATCACGGCGAGGATTTTTGTTGCCTGAAGCATTAGATAAGGTGGAGTTGCCCTTTTCCTCAACTTCTGACGATTTTCATGACTGTCATTTCTCTAGGCATTCCCTATCGTGCAACAAGCACTATTTTACGAAGAACCTATGGGGCGGCATGCACTTGGGAGTAATGTTCGTGACGCAGCGTGCTATGTGCTTTGGGCATTTGCTCGAGCATATGAGCCTGAACAGCTGAAGAGTTTCATAGACGATGTAGCCACTAGCTTGGTAGGTTGGAAGTCACGCGTTTATACCCTGGGTGTTTGAATTTTCATTGTTCAAATTTCATAGATGTGTGCTGCGTTGTTTGACAGAGAGGTAAACTTGCGTCGAGCAGCGTCTGCTGCTTTCCAAGAGAATGTCGGCAGGCAAGCAAACTTTCCTGATGGAGTTGCGTTGCTAACTACGGGTAAGTAGCCATGGTAATGATGCTTAAAATTCATTTCTCCCTGTTTTAGCGGATTATTTCGCGGTAGGAAACCGTTGGAGATGTTACACAAAAGTTTGCGCAGAGGTTGTTCGCTATCCCAAATATGCAGACGCTATAGTTGATCATCTACTTGAAAATAAGGTAAACTTCAGTTTATAGAGCAAATTCTCTACATATCTTTTATTCAGATCATTCACTGGGATGAAGTTGTGCGAGAACAAGCTGCTATAGCTCTCAGCATTCTTGCTCCCTTACATCCTCATTACCTATCTGCCAGGCTAGGGAATCTTCTAGCTGGTTGCAACACATCAAACCCAGTAAGTTACTTATGTTTCTATGATTCCATAATTTTTCTTCTTTTCAATTAGGTCCATCGTCATGGCTACCTGCTAGCACTTTCACATTCTTTACAAGGGCTTCTATCCTCTCGATTTACTTGTGATAAAGAAGTGAGTGACAAAGAAGTTTGGCTATGTTAGCGCTACTTTACTCTTCCAGCTATTGCGGCAAGCTATCTCATTACCTATCAAACTCAAAGCGGAAAGTGAAAAGCTGAAAGTTTCGGGAGGCGAGCTGACGCGTCTTGCTTTATCTGCTTTCATTCGATGTCTGTCGTCTGTACCTGTACAACTGGATGCAAACGAGGTTTGTTGTCCGGTTTTTAAGGAAAAGCTAGAGATGTGAGTCAGTACCGCAGAGGCAGCGCGCCATCGCGAACGCAAGCTCCCTCGCTTTTTAATAAAGTGTTCCTATATTCCTCCTATCGTCTGCTGTCTCTTAGCTGTCTTCGTGTGAGCAACTGCATTGCCTTTTCGCGTGATTACGTGCTCATAACCAAATGATCAACATCAGCAGTGAAGGCTTTGGTTTTTTGGAAACTTGTCTTATGTCATATAACATACGTTATCAGTCTATTTTTTGTATTCAGAAGGCTTTGCTGACTTTCAGTTACCCCATTTAGTGCAAGCTGAACTGAAGTACTGAATTGATCATTCAGAATAGATATTATGCAGTCGTACGCCCGTAGCTTGTACAGATGGCCTACTGCATTCTGGAATTGCTGTATCCCAACCTCCCTAGAAATAGCTTTTGAGCATTGACTACCAAACTTAACATCACATTGTATTGAATCAGTTCAACAAGCTGTGTCATTTTGTGCTTTTCAATGATTTGATTTAGTGCCATTCAACTTGTTTCTATTTTAGATCGAAAATTGGCAAGAACGCTTGCTTGCCTTCGCATGCGACGACACCGCAGCAGTGAGAACTGCTGCCGCTTTAGCAGCTTCCACGTTTTTCCCTGCATATTTCAAGGAAAACCTCTCGGTGAACATAGATGCTTCTTTGAAAGGCTTTATATCAAAGGTATGAATTTTTTCTGTCAATCATTGAAAATTTTCCTTGTACCGCCATGCTTTCAGATGACTAATCCTCGCAAGGAAAATGAGCGAATAGGTGTTTGTTCTTTGGTCTCATATCTCCCTTCGCAATTTGTCACTGACGATTTATTTGCCGCTCTTTGTAATGTTATTACGAGGTAAGTATTAGAAAGCTAATATGGCAAAAGTTATTTCATTATGATCTTTTAAGGCCAACCGATATAGATGCTAAATGGGCATTAGGTCGTCGTTCAGCAGTTGACGCACTGGGCGCACTTTATACTTCCCAACCCAATGAGAAGTGGACTGGTTTTGTATTTGATGCTCTCTTTCAAGCTGTTAATGATTACACCACTGATAGTCATGGGGATATTGGACGACTGGTAGGAGGATCATTCCGCTCGATAAAAAGTCAAAAAAGAATTAGGCAGGAATTAAGTTTTTTCTGCTTTTAGGTGAGGATGTCAGCAATGTGCGTAATGACAAATTTGTTGTGCCTTCCGAACACCAAAGAAGGTGTTCTGAAAAATTATGTGCAACGCGCGGTCCAGGGCATGGTACAGCAAAGCGTTGGCAAAATCGGTCGAATACGGGAGGTTAGTCATAACTTTTTGACTTCCATACTTGTACAACATCCTTTTAATATCATGTTGTCTAGACTGCATGCAAATGCATCATGACGTTGCTCGCTTCAAAAGCAACCAGAAGCTATATTTCACATGCGCAGGAACTTTCATCGATTTACCGCAATGAGCACGACTTTATTCAGGTGCTTTTTTGAGTTTCGTCTTGTTATAGTCTTGCAAATTACTGATTTATGTTCAGGATTCAATATTTCTCTCGATGACACCGCTTTTGCTTTGTGCAGATTATTATCATGATCTTATCTGTGGATTAGTTGTCTCTGCTGGTAAGAATTTGCTTAATTTTGCCATAATCCTTGAAGAATTCGAATTTTTGCTATTTTGTAGGCGGGGTAAGCGAAGGCACTACGATGCGTGCTTCTCAAGCTTTAATGGAATATCAGGCATCTATCTCAAAGGATGTGACGGTAAGCTCAGTGCAGAAATTGGGATTTTTGGCAAACATTCTTTT